TTCCTTCGGGTTACGCCCAACTCGGGATCCGCCCAGAGGCACGGAACGGATTAAGTTCGTATCCCGAGATACCACTGTACCAGCAATATGCTCTTAATGAAAACCCTTCCTCTAGGCCAGTGTTTCTCAACCTTGGCAGCTTGAAGATGTGTGGACTTCAACTCCTATAGCTGGCTGGGGAATTCTGGGAGTTGAAGTCCACACATCTTCAAGCTGCCAAGGTTGAGAAACACTGCTCTAAGTGCTTAATATTTTTAATTATTTCTTTTAATAATAGATGCATAATTTATTCTTCCATAACGTGAATGGCTATGGAACCAAAGCCTACTCTCTAACTTCCAGAAGGGCTAATCAACCATATCTTCTGAAATTCATCAGGGGGGCTTATCCCTTTTTAACCACAAGTTCTACAAATGTCTTTTTTTCCCAAAAAATAAGGGATGATATTTGAGACTCTTAAAGAAATCCAAACTTCTTCTTGCTCCCATGGGATTGTAGCACACAGAGCTTGACTGACAGATCAAAACCGAGAACTTTACCCCTGAAGCCCTCTAAAAATGCATATTAAAAGCACTGTGAGTCCTCCAAAGAACATGAACAGTTACTGATGTTGTTTAATTAAATGTTTTTTCCTCCACTCTTTGCAAAAAACCTCCCAAAGTTTTTTACCAAGCGGTCAAACAACTTTGGGTTAAGCCTATGAAGACAAAACATCGCAATACAACCTGAAATATGAGGGGACCCAGTGCAGTTTCCTCCCATCCAGCAGTCCCCAGGTGTGTTGGATTTTGCTCATTGGGAATTATGGAAATGGATGTCTAGCAGTGTTTCTCAACCTCAGGAGCTTGAAGATGTGTGGACTTCAACTCCCAGAATCCCCCAACCAGGATGAAGTCTGCACATCTTAAAGTCGCTGAGGTTGAGAAACGCATCTGGACAATATTAGACGGGGGATGCCTGTCCAGCTATCATAACTAATCTAAACCTTTGGCACAGGGACAGAACAGAGAACTTCTCACAGACTCTTATTTGGAGATAGATATTACTTCTAACAGAGATGTGTAAGTATTATTACCATCTATATTGAGCATCATCTTCCACATGGCAGGTCTGACAGACTGATGGAAGCCAAACCATACCTCCCGACCTCCTCCCAGGGGGTGATAGTATCCTTCAGGGGGAGAGAAGAAGGAACGCCCCACTGGGGTGTACCTGGGAAGACCATAAGAAATGAGGAACATTAGTCCATGTTACATACTCATGGAGGCCTACAACTCTGATTCAGATTGAGGCACAACAGAATGAACATTTTTCTCAGTTCTCTTATCTTCTTCTAAGAGGATGCAAAACCCAGATCCTGTCTCCATATCTAGAAATTATTAAAACATTTATATAACACCTGCGGTTTTGTCACATTTCATTTCAGTAAAATGTATACATAAAAACCCTTATTCTGTTCTTTCCTCCCCCAAGAATTCTAGGAAATGATGTTCCAAAGAGGCTTTTGATCTCTGTTCTTGGTGTCCCTCAAAACTACAACATGAGAAAAGCCATGTTAGGTCAATGGATTATCAAACATGAGTAACTGTAACAGACACCTCTCAACCTAGTTATGAACCCTTTCTTGGCATTCATTTTTCAAAAATACCAAACAACCAAATTTTACCTCATGGAAGCCAGGTGTCTCATAGCAACATCAAGGGCCTGGACAGATTCCAAAGGAACAGGGATCTGCCCGCTCACCAGAGCTTCATGGAGCATCCGCCAGCTTACAATGGCCATCCACTTAATAGAGACCTTGAAGATCCGGTCTTTGCCTTCCCCTGGAATTGTCACCTCAAAGTCAACCTGCAATGGAGCAAGGAAACAAGACTAACCCTTGAACTTTTGTCTCCCTGCTCTTAATCCCAAAATTTAGCTTGCTCTCACTGCTCTGCATATTCCTGGAACAACACAAATTTAAACTTAGAACTCTCTTTTTTTAAAAAAAACTGTTTATTCTGAATCACTGCCGTGTGCTGGAAATAAGAGACAGCAAGGAAGCATTTATGCTATTACAGGTAGTCTTCGCTTAATGACCACAATTGGGACCGGAATTTAGCTCTCTCAGCAATGTGGTCATTAAGCAAATCATGATGTGACTGGACCCAATTTTACAACCTTTTTTGCGGCGGTTGTTAAGCAAATCACATGATTCCCCATTGATTTTGCTTGCCGGAAGCTGGCTGGGAAAGTCACAAATGACCCCAGGACACTGCAACCATCGTAAGTGTGAGCTGGTTGCCAAGCGCCCAGATTGCAATCATGTGACTGCAGGGGCACTGCGATGGTCGTAACTTTGGGCACTGGTCGTAAATCACTTTTAATGCCATCGCAACTTCGAACAGTTGCTAAACGAACAGTTGTTAAGCAAGGACTACCTGTATTTATTTGTTGGATTTCCCTCTCACCTTTCCTTCTTTGACTTTCTCTACACAGCCACCCTGTGAAGTGAGTTGGCCTGAGAGTGAGAGGGCTCATCCAAAGTCATCCACGGAGTTTCCATGGCTGGGTGGGTCAACCTAGTCCTAGTTCAACATCTTAACCACAATACCACCCTGGCTGGGACTCCACATATACATATATTTCCTGCTTTCAGAAGAAGAACACTATCTCATCCTCTTGTTTTCGAATGGTGTGCAAAACATTTTGAATGCATAACTTTCTGAGTTAGAAACAGACTGTTCCAAACTTACAGAAGTGTTCTGATCACACCAGAAATATTTTGAGCTCGAAATAGCCATTTCAAGCTCCAGTACATTCAGAACAGAGGCGGGACACTTCCTGTTCTGTTAGAACAACCCATTTTGAATCTGAAAAGTTTTGCACTCCCCTGTCTTTTATCTTCTTACCCTTTCATTTCCAATAGGCAGAGCAGTGACAGTATAGATGTTCTTCTTTCCATCGTACACCGGCTTCCGGTCTCCAAAGATCTGAGGTTTGAAGTGTTGCACCATATATTCCACAACCTCCCTGCAAAAAAAAAAAAAAAAAAAAAAAAAAAAAAAAAACAAAAACCAAAAAAAAAAAAAAAAACAAAAACCAAAAAAAAAAAAAAAAACAAAAACCAAAAAAAAAAAAAAAAACAAAAACCAAAAAAAAAAAAAAAAACAAAAACCAAAAAAAAAAAAAAAAAAAAAGCAACAGACAGACATCGGACGGGGAGAGGAGGAAAGAAAAAGAAGCAGCTAGAAAAAGAGACTTAAGCATAATTCTGCTAGGAAACTAAAGTGTTTAGAACCAGCTTGTGGGGCAGTCATTTGAGAGTCACAGGACAAATTCACTATTTCTCAAGTCACAAGTCAAGAAACTCAGGGCTTTGACCTAAAGCAGGCTTAACACAATTGCCTGTTGTGCATGAAATTGGCTCAGCTAAGACCAAACAAGTGTGTTTCATCTACAAGGTCTGCACTGCTGATCAATAATTTGGATGGCCGTTGTACTTCTCTCACATGGCAGGGTCACTGAGGAGTGCTGTTGTGATCTTGCAGACCAAATCCTGCTGGTTTTTTAATGCTGCTGCAGAATTTCGTTTTTGTAAGACATTTGGCCTGTTTCAGAAAAAGAGGGATATCCCTAGGTTTTCTAACATGGCTGCAAAGATTAACTTGAAAGGATGAGGTTGGAAAGAAAAAAGGTTCAAACAAGAGTAAAACTTGTTGAAAAAGGTGTACCAAATATAAATTAACTAGTGGGGCTGAGGTTTTAATATATTTATCTGAAACGTTCTTCCCTTACTCATAGTCCACCTATAGAAGTTATAGATTTTCCATCTCTGGAAGTTTTTAAGAAGAGGTTGGACAATCACCTCTCACTTCACTTCTCACCTTGATGTTCCTGAACATTGTAAAGGGTCGGTCTAGACCAGTGTTTCTCAACCTTGGCAACTTGAAGATGTGTGGATTTCAACTCCCAGAATTCCCAGCTTGGCTGACTAGGGGATTCTGGGAGTTGGAGTCCACACATCTTCAAGTTGCCACGGTTGAGAAACACTGGTCTAGACCGACC